AAACACACACAGAAAACTACAAACACACAGGAAACTACAAACACACATGAAACTACAAACACACACAGAAAACTACAAACACACAGGAAACTACAAACACACATGAAACTACAAACACACAGGAAACTACAAACACACACATGAAACTACAAACACACAGGAAACTACAAACACATGAAACTACAAACACACAGGAAACTACAAACACACACAGGAAACTACAAATACACAGGAAACTACAAACACACAGGAAACTACAAACACACACATGAAACTACAAACACACATGAAAACTACAAACACACATGAAACTACAAACACACAGGAAACTACAAATACAGGAAACTACAAATACACATGAAACTACAAATACACATGAAACTACAAACACACACATGAAACTACAAACACACATGAAACTACAAACACACTTGAAACTACAAACACATAGGAAACTACAAACACACATGAAACTACAAAAACACAGAAACTACAAATACATACAGGAAACTACAAATACAGGAAACTACAAACACACATGAAACTACAAACACACAGGAACTACAAACACACAGGAAACTACAAACACACACAGGAAACTACAAACACACAGGAAACTACAAATACAGGAAACTACAAACACACATGAAACTACAAACACACAGGTAACTACAACACACAGGAAACTACAAATACATACAGGAAACTACAAACACACATGAAACTACAAACACACAGGAAACTACAAACACACAGGTAACTACAAACACACAGGAAACTACAAACACACAGGAAACTACAAACACACAGGAAACTACAAATAACAGGAAACTACAAACACACATGAAACTACAAACACAGGTAACTACAACACACAGGAAACTACAAACAGACAGGAAACTACAAACACACAGGAAAACTACAAACCACATGAAACTACAAACAACAGGTAATACAAACACATGAAACTACAAACACACATGAAACTACAAACACACACAGGAAACTACAAACACACAGGAAACTACAAACACACAGGAAACTACAAATACACAGGAAACTACAAACACACATGAAACTACAAAAACACACATGAAACTACAAACACACAGGAAACTACAAACACACATGAAACTACAAACACACACAGGAAACTACAAATACACAGGAAACCACAAAACACACAGGAAACTACAACACACAGGAAACTACAAACACACACAGAAACTACAAACACACAAAACAAACACACAACTACACACACAGGAACTACAAACACAGGAAACTACACAACACACAGAAACTACAAACACACATGAAACTACAAACACACATGAAACTACAAACACACAGAAACTACAAACACATGAAAATACAAACACACAGGAACTACAAAACACATGAAACTACAAACACACATGAAACTACAAAAATACATACAGGAAACTACAAATACAGGAAACTACACACACAGAAAACTACAAACACACAGGAACTACAACACACAGGAAACTACAAACAACATGAAACTACAAACACCACAGGAAACTACAAATACACAGGAAAACCACAAACACACAGGAAACTACAAACACACATGAAACTACAAACACACACACAAAACTACAAACACACAGAAAACTACAAACACACAGGAAACTACAAACACACATGAAACTACAAACACACAGAAAACTACAAACACACAGGAAACTACAAACACACAGAAAACTACAAACACACATGAAACTACAAAACACACATGAAACTACAAACACACATGAAACTACAAACACACAGAAAACTACAAACACACATGAAACTACAAACACACAGGAAACTACAAACACACATGAAACTACAAACACACACACAAACTACAAACACACATGAAACTACAAACACACAGGAAACTACAAACACACATGAAACTACAAACACACACAGGAAACTACAAACACACATGAAACTACAAACACACATGAAACTACAAACACACATGAAACTACAAACACACATGAAACTACAAACACACACAGGAAACTACAAACACACATGAAACTACAAACACACATGAAACTACAAACACACACAGGAAACTACAACACACATGAAACTACACACCATGAAACTACAATCATACAGGAACTACAAATACAGGAAAACTACAAACACACATGAAACTACAAACACACACAGGAAACTACAAAACACACAGAACTACAAACACCAGAAACTACAAACACACATGAAACTACAAACACACAGGAAACTACAAACACACAGGAAACTACAAACACACATGAAACTACAAACACACATGAAACTACAAATACATACAGGAAACTACAAACACACATGAAACTACAAACACACATGAAACTACAAACACACAGGAAACTACAAACACACATGAAACTACAAACACACATGAAACTACAAATACATACAGGAAACTACAAATACAGGAAACTACAAACACACATGAAACTACAAACACACATGAAACTACAAATACATACAGGAAACTACAAACACACATGAAACTACAAACACACATGAAACTACAAACACACAGGAAACTACAAACACACATGAAACTACAAACCACATGAAACTACAAATACATACAGGAAACTACAATACAGGAAACTACAAACACACAACAGGAAACTACAAACACATGAAACTACAAATACATACAGGAAACTACAAACACACATGAAACTACAAACACACATGAAACTACAAACACACATGAAACTACAAACACACAGGAAACTACAAATACAGGAAACTACAACACACACAGGAAACTACAAACACACAGGAAACTACAAACACACAGGAAACTACAAACAAAAGAACTTAAAAGAAAATAAAAACAATATATATTTTCAAAATAAAAGCATCTATCTTTCCTCTGTAACCTTTCAGCACAGCTGTGATCCCAACCTGTTCGTCCAGAACGTTTTCATCGACTCCCACGACCCGGGGTTCCCCGTCATCGCCTTCTTCACCAGCAGGTGAGGAGGAGGAAGATGATGATGATGATGATGATGATGATGATGATGATTGTTTATATGAACTCCTCCTCTCTCTCAGGGTGGTGAAGGCAGGCTCGGAGCTGACCTGGGATTACTCCTCCTCCTCCTCCTCCTCCTCCTCCTCTGGAGCAGAAAGTAGTCCCGGAGCAGAAAGTAGTCCCGGCGCTGTGTGTCTCTGCGGCAGCGAGGCGTGCCGCGGTCGCTTCATGGTGGGAGATCAGCTGTGTGACTCCTGTGAGGTCAAAGGTCACACTCAGTGACCCCCCCGCCCCCCTCCCCTACCGGTTCAAACCTCTGCACTCTTTTTATACACTGAAATAAATGCACTCTATTTTGAAAATCACTTTCTGGGTGTTTTATTTTGTGTGGTGTGTGTTTACTTACTAACTACTGTATATATAAAGGTTTACTTTCAAGGAGAAATGTTTTATTTTGAAACTCCATTTCAGGAATACTGTGTCATTTTTGATCTATCACTAAATATATATTTTTTTAAATCCTTTGTGCATCCTTTTATGCTTTAAAATGATCTATAGTAGTGGGAAATGTTTTTAAAATAAAGGGACTTTATTCTTATAATATTGGGATTAATATTGAAACATCATTTTATTCTTTATTCTGTTCTATCTCAGCTGCTCTTATTTTGAAATTCCAGCACAGACATCGACAGTTCTGTCACTCCGGCTCTTATTGTGAAACTCTGGGTGTTTCTCAAAGTCCAGGAAGGATGCTCCAGAGCCACTATTTCAAGGATGCTACGTCATCGAGTGCCGTCGAATGTCGAAGTACTGTTCCAATGTCCAGGCTCCTTGGAGTTCTACCGAGCCCGGCGTACTCCGTTTGGAGAAATATCGAGGCTGCACATCATGGATGTATAATAAGAACTGGATACAGCGTGGGAGGCGGGGCCTCATTCATTCCTATGAGAGTTGCTCAATCGCGCATGATGACAAAATGGCCCAACTTTTGAGAGAGCGAAACGTCACAGATTACCCGGCATGCCTGAGAAGTACCCGTATGTGCGCTCATAGCGCATGCGCAACTTTAAACATGCCCCCCAAAATGCTCGTTCACATCAAGCACGTCAATTTGCGTACACGTAACAGCACCGCGCGTTCATGACAGCATGGTAATGGGTTGTTATGATGGATTTGATATTAACGACGAGGCGGCAGTTAGCAGCTAGCGGCTAGCTAGTAATTATGCTAATTTACACATCAGTCGTTATGTACTTTTATATTACGCTGATGTAACAGGATCTAGTGATATCCAAGCAACAGAGCTTAATTTAGCATGATACTTGTGTGGGTTGTAGCCTACATGAAACCACTTGGTAATATATAAAAATATATGTATTTTGAGTTATGATCAATTGTGATTTAAATCTTTATCATTGTTCATTGTATATGTAAGTTATTTATATGTATGTAAGTTTTGTCTCGTGTGTATGTACTGTTTGTGATCGTTGTTGTGTCCTCACTCGTGGCCTGCACCTTGACGTGGTGAGTGGGCTTTAAACTAAGACAGGCCATTTATGTTTGAAATATCATGCTAACAAACCTGCAATTACAGAATTGAATGATAGTGGTTATATATGTTCATGTCTTGCTGACATTATTTGTTATCCTTTTCCGCATAGCCTCTCAGATGGATTCCTGTTTCATCTGTTGGTGTGCCACTGTCCAGTGTCTGCCGGCTGGCTCCCTCTCAGAAAAGTGCCATCTTCTGTCAACAGGAAGAACTGAGCCTCCCAACCAGCATTCTGACCATGAGTCTGACTCACTAAATGAAGCTCAGCGCAAGTTCTTTCAGGAAGACTGGGTATGTATACATTCACTCCGCAGCTGCTTATAATCAGCTCATCACAGGCGTTCTCTTTAACCTATTACATTCACCTCATTCTCCAGCAGCCAATCACCGAGCTGCAGCCAAACTTTAAAATGGTTCTCCTCTCTCCTGCAGTCAGCTGTGATTTCAGGTGTTCATGCTGCCGCCCGCCTCCTCCCCATCCACCTCCTCCCCATCCACCTCTTCTCCACCCACCTCCGTTCATCATATCCAGAGCCAGGAGAGCTAATCCAAAGACCTCATCACACCTCCTCTTCATCCCATCTCCTCATCAAATCCAGATCTTCATCATCATCACCAGTGTCTAGACCCCGGGGAGGTTCCCTATATGCTCACGGCTGCATTTCCCCCTTTAGATATAAGATTTCAGGATCGGGGTCTAATCGCCAAAGACTTAACATTTATCATATGACATGTGTCAATAAATGTTCTTTAAACAAAATGAAGTCTCTCCTGATTTAACTGTCTGGACCCCATCCTCAACTTTTTTTCAAACCACAACATGCCTTCAGAGGGCTTTCCTGTTGATCATAATTGGTGGATCTTTTAATCTAATAATTGCAATCAATATTATATATATTACCTTTTGATCTATATAAATTGTATTTACATTTGTTGTCACTATTTTTTCCACCTAGTTCTACAATGCCAGCCATAAGAGGTATACATTTCTTATTTTTGTGAATTTCTATATAAAATGCTGATTTTCTACCTGAAAATGCTTATGTATTTTTAATTACATTTTCGTAGAGCTTTGACTTTTTCAGCTGAATAAATATTATAACTAGATGGTTTTGTTCAGCATTGCCAGCTTCACTTTTGAGCTTTATGTTGTGCCCAGCATTCTCCTGTGCTCTGAAATCAAAATGTGGATAAGCATAACACAACACTAAAATAAACACTACAATACAACTTGTTATTTGACACACACAAGGTTGTTCATTTGTGTGTATAAATATAAAACACAGGCTATATATATATATATATATGTATATATATATATGTATAATTAATACAACTGTTAATTTGATTAGAGCTTTGACACATATATCTTTATTTATATATGTATAAGTATGACGACTTCCTCGGGCGATATCATGGTATAGCTAATTAATCTGGGTCAAAACGTGTTGTGCCCACATGCAAAGGTTGTAAACTCTGGTTTATCCCTGCGTGGTATTATAGTAATAGCAAACAACAACGTTCAACTCCTTTAATGGTATATTGCAAGTGCAATAAGAAGCTACAGGGACGTTAATCTACGTCGTTTAATATTAACTTTATTTAATACAAGATTACATCATACAGCCCATGTAGTATAATATTTTACAAATGATGAATTACAGCAAACATGTGCAATATATCCATTATTACAGCTCCGTGGGCTGGCAGTAAGCGATATGGGTCCGTTCTTATCCATGGGTAAAGATAAAACTCATGTGGTGCTGAACACGTTCACATCACATGAACGTGCCGGGCGGCGCGGTCCCGTGGGTTAGATTGCGCGTTCATAATACAGAGGGAAATAACTCTCAGAATAACGTTATTAGCACATTTTTACAACTTGAGGAACGAATGTTTTTAATAAGGGCTATACAAGTGTTCATACTGGGTAGTTTATTTAGTTTAAAAAAAATTATCCAACGAGTTACAGACCACTCTTTCCCCATGTAAGTCAATGGGAAAAAGTGTTTCCGGGCCTGGCAACCAAAAGGAAGTGTAGTACCGCCGTTTGGCCAGCACGAATATTTTCATCAGAGTCCGGCGCACTTTCCTGGGGGCTTGCTGCACATGAGTAGACTCCGCGGTCTTAAAATCCCCACAATGCTTTTGCGCACGGACCAATTAACCCAAATCTGTGGCGGAAGATGTAAGAGGCGGGGCTGGCCTCTCATATGACGCACACCTGCACACTTGCTAGCCTGTTCCACTCTTTGTTTTCCGAATGCCAGGAAGTATTCTTGCCTCGCTTCTGAAGCAAGATGCTCGGAAGACATGTGCTACCAAGCAAGCGTACTCGACATTGAAAAACACCCCCTCTCATGTTGTTTTACCTCCAGCTCCTCCTCTTCCTCCTCCGGACTCTTATTGTGAAACTCTCTCATGTTGTTACCTGCAGCTCCTCCTCTTCCTCCTCCAGACTCTTATTGTGAAACTCTCTCATGTTGTTACCTGCAGCTCCTCCTCTTTCCTCCTCCAGACTCTTATTGTGAAACTCTCTCATGTTGTTTACCTGCAGCTCCTCCTCTTCCTCCTCCAGACTCTTATTGTGAAACTCTCTCATGTTGTTTACCTCCAGCCTCTCAGCGACTCTCCTTCAGATCTGACCCGAGAATGAGCGCTGTTTCCTGGCCTGCGTGCTCCTGGTTCTCCCGGTTCTCCTGGTTCTCCCTCCTCTCCCTCCTCTCCCTCCTCTCCCCGGCCTCCTCTCTCCGGATCCCCCCCCACGATGAGGTGGCCCAGGTGGCTCGCTTCGTGGCCCACCAGTGTGATTGGGCCTCCATGGCCACCGTCTCGTCTCACAGCCCGCTGATTGGCCGGCCCTTCTCCAACACTTTCTCTGTGAGCGACGGGCCGCGAGGCTCCGGGACCGGGACCCCCTTACCTGTACCTGACCCCGCATGGAGGTCTCCGGGCAGGACCTGCAGGTAACCATAACTCTACCTGGGTGTGCACTTAAACACAGGAGTTATAACAATAACACTTTTCGCTTTTGTAAGATAGATAAGACTTTATTTATCCCGAAGCTAATTGTAATCAAACCCAGCAGCATGATAACAACTGAACAGTAACAGAGCAGTAACAAGAGCAGTTCTACAGGAAGCACAGACGGTCACATCATGAATGTATTGGCAGTATGTAGGAGTGAAAGAAGTGGCAGATAGGTAACTGCACGTTATTCATAATAATGATACTGCACGTTATATAGCAGAGAGCTTTTTTATATCGTCTTGTGTTATTTATAGCTACACAACTTTTATTTATAAGTTAGTAACAAACTTAAAAATATCGTTAATTATGTAATATTCCCATGGGAGTGTGTGCTGTTGAAACATCTCAGACAGACCATAATAATTATAACCCTCGTCTTAAGAAATAAAGTCACTTTTCTGTCAACATGTGTTTTAATCGTACTTTTTAGACTAACTTGTAAACATGTGTTTAAAAGTAGCTTTTATACATTTATATTAATCTGAGAAACCTAATTAACTAATTAAGTGAAAGTTTAAAGTTTATAAAACATGTTATTTATGCAACAGCATGACTCAGCGGTTTCTGCTCTCAGTGACTCAGCAGAAGTCACATGACGTCATGTGACTTCTTGCTGAGTCACTGAGAGCAGCTGATAGGACGTACAGAAGTCACATGACGTCTGAGAGCAGCTGATAGGACTTACAGAAGTCACATGACGTCCTGAGAGCAGCTGACAGGACGTACAGAAAGTTGTAAAAGTATCTTATAAAGTTCAGAAGTTATAAGTTCTTATGACGCTCGCCAGGTGGAAACACCTGTAAAAACATGAGGTCAGACTTTAACCCCCATCATGGAGTCAATATAGCTTTTACCCCATGGAGGCGGGGCCTCGTTCATTCCTATGAGAGCTGCTCATTGGCTCATGAAGACAAAATGGCCCCAACTTTTGAGAGAGCGAAACGTCACGAAAGTATTCAATATAATCATATAATCCGTTCTTATTGTGCGTCCATGGGTAAAGGTTGAAACTCATGTAGTACTGAACACGTCACATGAACGTGGCCGGGCGGCGCGGTCCCGTTAGATCCGCGTTCATAATGCCGAGGAAAATAACTCTCAGAATAACGTTTATTAGCACATTTACAACTTGAGGACCGAATGTTTTTAATAAGAACAAATGTTCATACTGGGTCGTTCATTTAGTTTAAAAAAAATTATCCAACGATTTACAGACGTCTCTTTCCCGATGTTAGTCAATAGAGAACCGCAGTGACGCGTCCTAAAACCCGGAAGTAAGTTAGCATTTTTACCACGTCCGGTTCCTTCGACAAAAAGCAATGGGATCTCTCCACTTCCTGTTCCCTGGTCTCAGAGCCAATGGGATCTCTCCACTTCCTGTTCCCCTCGTCTCAGAGCCAATGGGATCTCTCCATAGGTTGTGGAAGATAGCTGGAACTAAGGTCTGTGGTTGAGACACATTGAAGAGACGGATCACGTTTTGTTCTAGGACATTAAATCCATCAGCAGTGACCCCACTGGTGATTTCTGAAGAGTTGACGTGTCTGAGAAACGATGGTTGTTACCAAAGTGGCTGAATAGGACTACAGAAGTCGTGGAGGCCGTTTTACGTCATCCACGCCGAACACGTGAACCTCCTCTAAGTTAGTTTGCCCTGTTCTGCTTGAAAGCAAGTACCTGCCTAGATTTATTTAGATCTTAAAGTGGACCTATCATGCTATATTTGAATAATATATTGTAGGGCCATACCTATATAAAACATGTCTGTGAAGTTTTTTTTTCAAAATACCAAACAGATCATGCATTTTAGCCATGCCTCATTTCACTCTATTTGCTCTTTTCCAGCCCTGTTTTTGCAAGGGCTGATTCTGTGAGAAGTCTTCTTCGCTGCTTTATGGCAGACTACAGCGCCACTTACAGGCTGGGCATATGTACTACAGCGTCTCCAGTGCTTTCGAGCGGCAATGGCCGGGCCGTGGCCCAACCCCCCATTCCCCTGATAGGTGGAGAGTTGCCCATATAGGCGGAGCTCCCCGTTTCTGACGTCAGAACAATTTCAAATCTGTATCGGCTCCGTTGCAGCCCCGTTTTTAGAGATTTGGGTATGGAGGAAAAGAGAGAGGGTTGTGTTTTCTGACACTTGGTGAGTTCCCTGGAACACCGGGGACACATATTCATGTATAAAAGACGTACAAAAGTGCATTTTGCATGATAGGTCCCCTTTAAGTTGGCCGTGACGTTGAAGCAGTGACCCTGCTGTAGTTCGTTTATAGCATAACGTTAGCATTTTGCTTCTGGCGACTAGATTTATGATTCGACTGAGCGACTGATACGGAAGTGTAGTACCGCCCTTTGGCCACAAGGAATATTTCCATCAGAGGTCCGGCACACTT